GTTTAGGGTTTAGGGTGAGGGCTTCGAGTTTAACGGCTCGGGGTTGTAGCTAACTTTGGGGAGGACGTTTTAGAACTTTAGAAGGTAAGGGTTGCCGTTCCTTGGGTTTCGTAAGGGTTTAGGGTTTAGGGTTTAAGGTTTAGGGTTTAGGGTTTAGGGTTTTGGGTTTTGGGTCTAGGATGTCGTCGGTTTAGAATGCGGGGTCGGAGGTTTTGTTGGTTGGAGCAAAGGGGGTTAGAAGGACAACGTAGATTCGAGGTTCCGAAGGCGCTGATGTTTCATGCAAGGGTTTCAGGGTATAGGATGCAGGTTTCAGAATGTGAGGGTTTAGGGGCTTTGGGCTAAGGACACGGCGAGTTAGCGTTCACTGCCGTGCGGCTTAAGGCATCAGTGTAGAGTCTCATCAACATTGATATAGTTCTTGTGATTGTTACTATGACAACTGGTATTATGAATATTACTACTACTCCTGCTGCTACTACTACTGCTGCTGCTGTTGCTGCGCTGCAGCTGCTGCAGCCACTTCTCCTCCTCCTGCTGCTGCTGCTAGTACCACTACCACTACCACTACCACTACCACTACCACTACCACTACTACTACCACCACCACCACCACCACAACCACCACCACCACTACTGCTGATAAGACGACGACTACGACTACAGAGTGCGACTCGACTACGACGACGTCTACGACTACCACTACGACTGCGACGAGCATCGGCTACTGCTGCTACTCCTGATGCCTTTACTACTGCGGCTGCTGCTATTGCTGCTGCTATTGCTGCTGCTACTGCTACTTAGTTCTCCTACTACTAATGCTGCTGCTGCTGCTGCTGCTGCTGCTGCTACTGCGGCTACCACCACTACGACTTAACTGCTACAGATGCTGCTGCTACTGCTGCTACTACCATTGTTCCTACCTCTTCCACCCTCAATCTAAGGTTAAACCCGTGGGCCCCTAGTATGAGCCCTTAACCCTGGGACCCTTATATACCTACCATATACCCTATATGTACCCGTAAGGGACTCTAGAAAAGCCCAAGGGTACATATTAGGGCCTTGGACTCAACCCGTCTGTCTCTCTAAGGGACCATCCGCTCATAAGCTTCCCCAAAATCCAGCGCGAACCCGAAGAGGCCGAAACGATCGATAGGAAAACTGCAAAGGAATCTGTAAATGGGTAGTTCTCTAAACTAGGGTCCCTTTGGGGGTCCTCTTCTTCCAAGGGTGCCGTACTACTTCTTGAGGATCCAAAATAAAAAAAAACCCTAAACTTTACTCCCTAGACCCTGATTAACCGCTAAACACCCCCCCGAAACCCTAAACCCGAATCCCTGAACCCCAAAACCCTAAAGCCCAACACCC